TTATTTCTGCGATAACTACCGGCTGCCTGTACATTATCCCTTACTTAATCTATTTTCTATTCTTGGTGCCCACTGTGCAGTATCTTCCACTATGTCCTTGTCAAGCTCTTGAGCCTCGATAAACTCCCACAAAATATGAGATTAAGGACGAGCAGGGCAGTCATGTGACGTAAACATTATCGATCGATTTATGCTAATTGCCAACGGTAAGTTTAAAGTGTAGCACATGAGAATGTAGTATGTACTGATTACATTTTAATTACTGCAAAATTAATATCGATTAAACCATTTACACCGGTTTCAGACCTGTCAAGATTTGCCAGCCTTAAAAGACTTCAGAAAGGACCGTGTACGTGGTCGGTCTCCAGAAACGCACATGGACCCTCTGTCTTCCCGATGATCTGGTGTGTATAGAGAGATCAGTTCTACTAAAACACAGAATTCACCTCCTCCCACATCGACGGAGATCTCGAAACGGATCGTCAAAGAACCGGGGCTACGACAAAACATACAAGACTACAAACCCATCCCCCGAGCAAGGAATAAAGATCTGGTAAATCGGAACGTGAGGTTGACACCACCTGCTAAGTAACTCTGTTGACCAAATGATGCCCTTTTTAATTCTCTAGTAAGAGATAAAGCTCGAAATAATATTACGAACATCGATGTATAAAGCCCGCTTGACTTGACTTGTATCGACCAGAATTAATATAGTTGCCTTTTAAACATTTGTTTTTCGCTGGGAGAAGCAATGTGGTTGATATCGACGAGCCACGCTACACACTGTGCGTCATGTGACATTCTCTCCAGGGGGGCATAAAGGGATCTTATATTGCTGTTGTCAAAAGTAGAGCAAGACACCCCCACCCCCCTTTTTAAAGCTGTGTCTGTGACAGACAGGCGAAGTGCTTTGAAGTGTGGATGGGCGCAGTGGGGCGCAGGCTTCTGTATGGCGCAGATTGCAAATGCTCAGGATGATATGGATATGAGGTACTCTATTACCAATTAAGAAGCAAAGACGGAAAAAAGCTAATTCGGTGACAATGCGTGTCTGTTCCGCGCTCTTTATAAGCTTTGAACATTGTTTCCACGTGTAGTTAAGTGGATCATTTTTCCTCGAGCGTCTTAGGACTTCAAAGCAGATTTGCTGCGCGTTGCTAATGCCCGAAGCGGGGTGGTTTCTGTCGATTCAGATCATGGATGGGACAAGGAGGAAAATAATTGGTAAAGCTGTACATTCAAAACAAAGGTTACAAAGTGAAGCGTTTAAACAACTTTCGCGTTCATTAAGCTGGTAAAGGTCAGGCTGGAGATGGTCGGAAAAGGTGAATCGTATCATCCTTGGCTTGTAATCCTCGGGGATCAGTTCGAAAGGTTTCACAGTACCTGAAACACGCCGAGAGTTTACAAGCTCCTGTTTAGAGCCGCGTGTTTCATTGTAACTGAAAGAACTTCTACGAGAATTAATGTTTCTTTTCTTGCATTGGTCGAGCCATTACATTTGTAGAGAGCAAAGGCCTTAACAAGCAATGGCAGCTCCAGAATATTTCAGGTGGGCTGCCAACAGTGAAATGGACCGTTAATGAAGGCTGTCACCGACTTCTTTTTACGAAGTGCACAAAATTCTGTCTCTAATAATAATAATA